AAATGATTCAATTTAATTTTATGATTATTGCATTAAATATACGAATATCTTTAAATAAAACGAAAAATAGCATATTTACTTTAATTATATTAATTCTACAAGCAGACAGTAGTATCGACTGACTATTGAGAAAGAAAATCTAGGAACTAGTGGGGTTGCAGTCGGAAGGGTTTGGACTAGAATTCATATACTTTGTTAATGGTCAAGCTTTCGGAATTTACTTATTTCATCCTTAGGACATCAACGTGGTAAAAAACCTTCTCTAAAAACTACATTGTCAATTGACGATGGTCAATTGCTGTGCGCCTCCATGCCTTAAATTGAGACGCAATTGAAATGCGCTCAATTTTAATTAATAATCAGGCGGTTTAATCGCCCCAAAATAGCCCTTAATGAGGTCGACTGGTCAGTGATGATTTTACAGTGGAGTCTTCAATGTTTCCTTTAAGCCTATTTTTAATGTAGTTTTTAGAGGTTTTTTTACCACGTTGAAGTCCTGAGGATGGAATAAATAAATTCCGAAAGCTTGACCATTAACAAAGTGTATTACTGTAAAGTAGGGCTGTAACTTTTTTGCTATGAAAAATTTTGTATTTCTATGAAAACATTTCCAAAGCAGCTTTTTACGTAGAATTTAATGGTTTAAGTATAGTTTTTTTAAAATTAATAATTTAAGACTTATATACAGAAAATTTGATTTTTTATATGGGACACTGTATATTTTTAATTTATTGAAAATAATTTAAAATTACCTATCCAAAAATATAGCACACTTGATATTTTGCTCGATTCTTCTTTGAGATATACACTGCTGGCAAAGGAATATTAGCAATAGGAGGTTTTCAATGCAATAAAAAAGATGGTAAGGCCAAAGAGTAGATAAGACAAGAGACGACAGTGAACAAAGAAGTCGAATTTCGCGAGAGAGACGCAGATATATTAAAATTTAAAGGTCCCATGAAGTCCCATTTTGTCTGTTGCCAAGTATATTTCTTTGAAAAATAAACAAGATTTTCTGAAAATAAATTAATAATATAATAAGGATATAAGTAACGTATGTTAATACGGAAATATAAATTTTTAGTTTAGGTTGGTTTAGGTTCTTTTTTCGCAATGTACTGATAATATCAAAGAAACAGAATGACTTAAGTTGATCGATTTCAAAGATAAACAGATAAAATCTCAAAATCTGACAACGGCGTATTTGATCTAATCTAAAATATAACCTATCCTATGATTTTAGGACGCTAATCAGCTGTGCTAATCAAGCTTAAACATAAACAAATCTGATTAGTTGTTTTCTTGCATTTTTGCCTTTTTAAAGTGTGTTTTCAGAGTTTTTCGATATCTTATCGTTCTGAGAGTTTTTAAGGTTTAATTTTAGTATCGTTTTTGTTGCGCACTAATTTGTAAATATTGTTAAATATGAATACTGAACAGGACACGAGTAGCAGGAAAAGACGAGATGGTGGCAATGTGTGTGCTTACAAAGACTGCAAAAATAGGTCTTATTCTTCGACAAACATAATATTTCACTCTTTTCCAAAGGGTCCTGAAAAGTGATTAAACTAAGAAAGAAGACTTAAAGAAGTTATTAAACTAAGATCGAAGACATGGTTAGAAGCTTGTAATATATTTTTACAAAAAAAAATGAGCAACTATTTTTTTGTACATAAACTCCACATTGTGATTTTACACTTGTTCAAGTCCATATGTAAAAAAAAAAAAATACACGTAAATAAACATTTCTTACAAATCGACTTGGTCACTTTATCTTGTTTACAAACGATATACAAAATATTGCTTTTATTATCTTTATTCCCCGACAAATATGTTTCTAATTATAATTTATTTTATATAATATTTAGAAAACTCATTTTTTTTCTGTTTCTATTTATTTCTTTACCCATACAGTAACTATTTATAAGCTATACAGGCAAGTTTTAATAATAGCCTATTTTAAATTTCCCGCGAAAAAAAATTACGAAAATTTAAAGGGGACAAGCGAGACGAGGTCACTCTCCCCACCACTCAAACATGAAAGGTATTAGCAATAGGAAGTTTTCAATGCAATAAAAAAGATGGTAAGGCTGCAAAATACACTGCAGTGCAACAGAGACGGATAAAGTGTCTTTTCCCTACCATCGTATAGGGAAGTGATCATAGAAGTGATACGACGAGAGAGCCCCTGCGAGAGGGGGCGCCGGGCGGTCTTTAAGACGCTTGTGTGGGGGCTACCGCCTACTAATAGAACAGAATCGAAAAAATAGAAACAGGACGGACAGTGTTGCCATTCAATTAAATCGAAATTATGTTGGCTTGTCAAAATCCTAAATCTTCTAATCCCATTATCTTGCCTACTTAATGAAATATTAAATAAAGTACGAAACAATTTTAAGAATGTTTTCTCTAGGCACATAACTTCTTTCTAAAACGAAAAGTAACATGCAAAACTTTGAAATCATTTCTAAAATAGCAAGTGCAATTCTATGAAATGGCAATACTGTACGATCTTCCTAGCAGTCGCCCCGACACAGTCGGTCGGCGGCGGCGCTTGACAAAGCCGCGGCTGTGACAAAGGAATTAGGCCGAAAAAAACTTTATAAGGAGTAGCCGAACAGGGTTGCCGGGTTGGTTAGATTATAATTCCATACGAGAACAAAATTCTCGGTAGATCTTCAACAAAAATTAAAAGTACAGAAACGAAATAAAATATAATATTTAAGTCCAAAATTAGCATTCCTATGTGTCGTAATAATAGATCACTCAAATAAAATACAAATATAATAAATATAACAAGAATTAGAAATAGCTAGGTATATTATTTGATATTAAAAAAAATATTGAATTAAATAATATTAATATATTAATAAAAACATATAAAACTATAACAAGTAGGGATAGCAGTCACAAATTAGTGTAGCAGTCACTTTTTACCTTTGTACAAATTTTGATCAGTGATATCTAAAATTAATTTCATTTCAATGGGAAAGCTGTAGCAACTCTCAACTCTTTTTTCATATTAATATATTTTTTTTGACGGGAAAATCACTAAAATATTTGTCCGAATTTAGGTTGTTTCTTAACTTAAATTTTGTTTTTGTTTACATTTTTGGGGAAAATATGGGTTCAACTTTAGTAGATGAATGAAATAAAATCTTTTCAAAGATATCAACTTCTTCGGGCATGTCGCCAATACCGCGCCTAATAAGGAGTAATAAGGATTTTTAGGAATATCTCTGTAACTCTGCAACTAGACAGAACGATGACCTGTATGTGTGTTATTACTAAATAAAATTTAATGAAACAATAATAAAGTCAGATTATACAGATTCCAACGCGGCAGTCGCTTAATTTTTAGTCAAATAAGTCAGCTTTTTAAAAGTGCTTCTATTGTAAAAACTAAAGACTCAGTTGAACATATCGTTAGATTTTTCTTTAAATCGGTAGATCGGTAGCTTACAGACGAAACTGGTAGACCTGGCAACTCTGTGATGAACTGACCGGAATCGGAATAGCGAGGTGCGGAGGCGCGGGAAGGGAAATAAAATAATGGCGATAAATAAAGGGCAGGCAGATGGGTATCATGAGTGGATGGGAGGTGGCGGAATTTCCAAAATTTTTTATCTTATTGGAGTTTGTCTAAGTAGACAGTCGTAGTGGAAGTGGAAGCGGGGAAGTTGTTGTCCATCTCTGTTTAAGCATAGACTTTTTATAGGCGTTTCATTCCAATGCATGTAATTCCTATGCCTAGAGATCCATTGCCGGGCCTGTAGAGTTTATAAAAATTTGCATCAAAGCATCAATTAAAACGAAAATAATATTTGCAATGAGAGATGCAGAATTTTATAAAAATTTAAATTATATTTAACCAACATCAACATATTTAAACTATATCTAATAACAATGAAAATAAATAGAAAAGCAAGACATGAAATTTTGCTACAGGTCTTCGACATATCGACCATCTTCTGTTACGGAAAGACGGGGCCGTTTTTTGAACATTTCTGGCGGAATTTATTAACTCAGTGGGAGTAAAAGATATCCTCTAATAACTGCTAAGTACTTCCAATTCTTGTGTAAATTATACGGGCAAATTAAAAATAAGAACCTTTATTCTTCCGCAGAGATATCCATAGGATTAGATCCAGATGCAAGTCCGGCAACCTCGACGGCCAACGGCTGGGATCTTGGTTAGCTATTAAATTATTCTTGAAATTGGCTGCAAAAATTTGCTGATAACTTCAGCGTTCTGAGGCGGTGCCTCGTCTTGCTGAAAAAATAGGTTTTCGAGTTCTATTATTAAATTATTATATTTAAACCATTAAATTCTACGTAAAAAGGTGATTTGGAAATGTTTTCTTAGAAATACAAAATTTCCTATAGCAAAAAAGTTACAGCGATTTGTTAAAAATGCACATTTTTGAAAAACACCCCGTAACTCCGAAACGGTAACAGATATCGATGTGCGGTTATCACCATCATGTTTTTGATAAAAATTGAGCTCCAGACACAGATATTAGTTTTGGTCTATCTCCTATAGAAAAGGGTGTTTCCCTTTAAAAGCGTCGAATTTGACCCAACCTGTACATTATATTTTATTAATACTGGGTTAGAAAATGACTTAAATTACATTAGATTGATTTAAGTCTTTACGAAAATGACTTGACTGGAAAGAAAAGTATTTAAGTCAAAGACTTAAGATTTAAATCATTTAAACTTTATGTTAAAATTGACTTAAGATTTAAATCATTTTGAAACTGCCTAGTTGCAACTCTGCATATAGTACCTATACGAGAAACCCTATAACACATATGGGACAGCCTGTAATGTAGTAATATAGGTACTCAATTTTTCTTAATCATTCCTTTCATCTTAATGGTTGGGTGGGCACGTAAGGCTAAATCTATTACTATAAAATTAGAACAGAAAACATCGAAATAAATAAAATTCCTTCATTTATTCATTTTAACTAATTACTTTAAAATTTATTATTTTAGATTAAAATGATAATTCATCTTGGATTTGTGGTAACAGTTCTATATACCGTATCGGCACAAAACTCAACGACAACCGAACCAGCACAAGCAAAAGAAACCACCACAGCTGCGCCTGCAGCAATTTCAAGAGAAAATGAAATAGTTGAAGCACAACCTGAAGTAAACCAATTCTATTTAAGACCCCAGCTTAATCCACAGCTGGTGCCTTATGCTTATTTGGAACCTCAATTGCAGTTTGATCCGGGATTTTCAAGGTAACTTATTATATCTAATAGTGTATAGATAATAGCTATAGGTATATTAACTAAATAATAATACAGTATTGCTACAACGGTTGAAATATTAAATTTGTTAGGACACGATGTGACACATTTGATATTTTTTTCAAAACACAATGTCAGCCATATGTATTATATTATTCGAAAATAATAAGGACTGACGTTTTGACAGAATACGATACTGCATTATATTATTCAATATATTATTATAATATAACGGAGATATTTTTAGTAAGTTGGTATGTCGATAGATTGGCCCAAGGCCAACTTGACCGTTCGTGTGTGTGATAAGTGTCACTGTACAAATTAATTTTGACGTAAGAAACGTCAAAAGTTGATGTCGACAGATCGCGACCAAATTTCGTGGGTATAGGGGCGAATCCAGGATTCGCGATGGGGGGGGGGAGGGGCTTGAGTTTTTCAAAGTACATACTCCAGAGTCGTTTGTGACAAAGTAAATTAATAATATCATATGGCTTGTACTTAAGGGGTTGTGACTTTAACAAAGAAGGGGGGGGGGGAGGAATCCGAGTCGGTAAATCCAACGATCTGTCGACGTACAAAATAACAACGTACCATTTTTATTAATTTCCCAACGTCGTTCCAACGTTGGCTTGCACGACGTACCTATACTTGAACTAGCCCGACGTCTACCCGTTGTCCGAATAGGATACGTCTCACTGATAATCCCTAAAGTAACGTCCAATTATATTTTGTTGTATTTTATGTTCATATATTTAACCTAATTTACGTATCTCTATTTACGTCCGTAAATACAACCCATTAAGTAGCATTTGCGGCCTAATAAACATCATGAACATAACCTAATAAAAAGTTTTTGTAAACAAACTTAATTTTTTTTATTATGCCTAAAAAAACACTAAAAAGACATTTAGACATTCATCTACATTTTACAGAAAGAGGTCGAGGCTTTTGCAAAATAATAATAGTAGTAGTGATGTCTTCCCTCCACCCACGAATGCTTTTTATCCGGAAGAGATACTGCATTACACTGGTGCAACTTAATTTCATTTTTTAGCTTAGGAAACCAGCAGACCCCATCCTCCTCCCACATGTGAGGTACTGGTTCCAATTCTTTTAAATTTTGTATATACTATCTTAAAAAAGTAGCTGCCCATTGTTTTAAAGAGAAAACAATAACTAAAATATAGTTGCACACATCCACAAATCACTGATACGCAAAGTGAGGTTACGTGGCGTACGTTGGAATTATATACGTCATAATACGATTGCCGGTCGTCCGGTTTGATGACTTCGGTCGAGTGAGACGACTAATGTTGGAGACCCGGTCGGAATTGGTATATTGGTAGTTCATATTAAGTCGGACACAGAAATCCGCCATTCTTAACAGGTATCCGATTGTCAGCCATTTTAAAATCATTTTTTGTTTTTAAAATTTATATTCACATTCCGATTTCTAGTAGAATAATATTGAGAAGGTTGAGTTTGGGGGGAACCACAGTACAATTTTATGATTAAACCAGCTAGAAAATAAAAAATATATTTTGCAAGTTACTTTTTTATAGATATTTTTATTTCATAAATCCTACTCATTACCTACTTTTGAAGGCGCTCGTTGTTTTCCGGAGTATTTTAATCAGATATATCAAAAAAGTGACTTCCGTTGACAAAACTGATGTCTGGATTAATGATTCAGAATTATTATAATATGAAATTAGGTAGGCACTTATAGTTCTATTCGAGGAGTGATTATGAATCCATTTGTAATTAGGTAGTTTGGTTAGGTTTTTATGTATTCTTGGTAGCGAATATGAAACCAAACGTAATGTAAGTGCTTAGCGACGAATTTTAAGTGACTAAAATCCAACGTAATATGACGTTGGTAATTGGTAGAATTACATTCCCTATTAGGTCAGATACCGACGTCGAGGCGACCCGAATCTGTATTCCCCATTTAGGTGCAAATAAGGGTCGTCAGGCGGTCGAACCGACATTGGTACCCGACGTCGGGTTTATTGAACGCGACGTATACCCGACGTTAGATAACGTCCAAATGCTACTTGGGTTCCTTTTAAAGACAACGAAATATATGTTTTAAGCGAATATGTAGCTTGTTCAAAGATAGCAGAAGCCATACAAAGTCTGTAAGGCGATAAAGACACATATTATGGTAGTCTATAACCAGAGCAAATAAGAATTCAATACAGGGTGGTCCGAACTGTATTCCGGAAACCTCGGCAGCATATTCTGCAGATAAAAATAAGTAAAAACCTTCGTATAACTGTATGTTCTAAAATGCTTAGTTTCGGAGATACAGTGTATATATATTCATATTTATTTCGATTTTTTCCAAAAATTTCTGAGGTAACGTCAAGTGAAAATTGGTGTCGGGGAGTTTTTTGACTACCAACATTTATTCACAACGTAAAATAAAACAACAAATTATTGAGTCTACCCCACGTCTACCCTACATCATAGTTTTACACTTTTTAAATAAAATTAGAACGGCACTGATAACCCGGAATTTAAGTCGGCCATATTTGAGTCCCTTCGCGGTGGATCTAAGATTTTTGATATGCTCCTTCCTTAATCTTTGTCCTGACTTTGAATTCATTTTCGTGGAAAAATCTTAAACAAAATAAAATAAAAAAAATATAAATCTGATTTGTTCGCGGTATTTTACTTATAATTCAAGTTTTTGTAAATTACCTTTCTTTCTATAATTCTTGTTTTTATAAATTTTCTCTAAACAAACTGTTTTGGGTCACGAGCCAGCAAAATTGACAGTTTTAGACTGACAGCTCAAAATCGCACTTTTTCTACTGCCCTTTTATTTGTTATTAATGGCTGATGTACACTAAAATTATATATCGATATCCTTATCATCCAAAAAAAAAGCTTATAAGTTTGTCTCATTAGTTAAATTAATTTATTAACAGTAGTGGGAAAATATATCAATCTTTTGGTGATTTTCATTTTCCCAATTGAATGTGTATAATAATATACGGAAAATGGTAGCAGAATCGTAGAATTTTCTCATTAGAGCAATTCAAAAGAATGCATCTCAATCACTCGCTGAACCTCATTTTAAAGCCCACAAAACTGTATTTGATCATAAACTGATTGTGCACGAAATAATTGATTGTGAAAAAGAAAAGAAAGTTTTCTTAAATTCTTATAGAAAAATAATGCAACTGCTTGAAACTAAATACTAATATTTTCAAAGATTACTTATACCAGAACGAGACTTCCGAAGTTGGAATTATATTTCTCATAACTCTATATACCGGGTGCGTATCAAAAGTGGCTCACCCCTATAACTTGTTTATTTTTCAGAAAAATAAACGAAATTTGGTAAGTTAGTATACGACATAAATTAGGATTAATTGACGTATTCAATTGTTTTTGGTCACTTCCTGTTTCACCGGAAATTACTACAACTTTTGATTTTTAAATGGCACCCTCGGTATATTTCTACTTTATGACATATGTCATCTTTTGATATTTTCGATTAAAAATACGATTTTGGCATCTTTTGGACCGGCCAGGACAAGACACGAAAAACATTAGACGATCAAATCTATTTTTCCAAGGCTCCTTGTTTAAAAATTAGTGTTTTTAACAGAACCTCTAGATCGAAATTTAAAATATAATGTTTTTTGGACGAAAATGTCAAAAGTTGACATATGATGTATCATTCTACTCAGAGTGTCATTTTCTATCAAATAAAGTAGAAATATACCAAGGTGCCATTTAAAAATCAAAAGTTTTAGTAATTTCCGGTGAAACAGGAAGTGGCCAAAAACAACTGAATAGTCAATCAATCCTAATTTATGTCATATACTAACATATATCCAATCTCGTTTTTTATGTAAAAAAATTAAAAAGTTATAGGGGTGAGTCAATTTCGAGACGCACCCGGTATACAAAAAACAACAACCGCAGACTAAGATTGAAAGAAAAGAAGAATTTTGAAGTATCTTTAAGTGAAAATTTAAAGATTTTAATCTGTATAGGCGCCATATCCTACAATAATTAAAAAAATATTTTTAAAATATACTTACACCTGTTTGCTGAGTTCCGCTTCCGTGGTGCAACTTTTTCCTTTCGAAGGAATTATTAATCAGACCACATTTAAGAAAAATAAGTGATACATTGTTTTTCAAGGATTAATTTTACTTAAGTCTTTTATTTGTCCAATTTGCAAAATAAAAGATTTAAAATATATTTTCCCAGATTTACACGATTCTTTTTCATAATTATTATTAATGTAATAAGCTAAATAAGCCAAACCCTTAAAAATAAAAATGAAATGTTTTCTTTCAAAATGTATTTTATTTTAATAAAATTATTTAAAAAATACATTAGTATTTTAATAAAGCACGCTTTTAGATGTTTCAAAAAACTTTTAATAAGAGTAACTTTAACTCTACATATATGTTTCGGCTTGTTAGGCCTTTTTCAAGAGTTTTTTAAGAACTAATCGTCTAATCACAGTAACTAACCATATATATATATATATATATATATATATATATATATATATATATATATATATATATATATATATATATATATATATATATATATATATATATATATATATATATATATATATATATATATATAGTATATATATATATATATATATACATATATATATATATATATATGTATATATGTATATATATATATATATATATTCTATCTATCTATATATATATATATATATATAAATATATATTATATATATTATATATATATATATATATACTATATATATATATATAAATATTGTGATATATATTATACCTATATATATATATATATATATATATTAATATATATATATATATATATATATATATATATATTATATATATATATATATATATATATATATATATATATTTGCTATGGGGGTGGTTCAGAGAGTTTACAATAGGGGTAATAAAAAATGTAGAGAGAATTTAGAAATCCTTGTTGGTCGTTAA